TTCCAATCTCTTATATGGGACTTTATTTTTCTAACTGCATGGACTGTGTTTTGTTGAAATTTAAATATAAGAAACTTTTAATTTTTCTGGGTTCAATTTTAAATCAGAATCTGTTATGGGTTGTTATCAACCATTGAATTGGTTTTGGAGTTTTCGTTTGATCAGAGAGAGAGAGAGAGAGTGTGTTTTTTTGGGTGAAACTTTTAATCGGTGAGATTTTTAGTTAGGCTATGTTGTGGGTTTTGGCCAATTTCTAGCGTGTTTATTTCAAGCCTTGAGTTTTGTAAGGACTGTTTCATTATTTAGAGAGGTAGTTTGACCCCATGGACGAATTTTTTCACAGCAGCTTCAAATCAACCTCTCTCCTCTCAGTCGGTCGCTCTGTTTCTTCTACAGGTATATCTATGTATACAGTTATGTACATGTATATAATCGATTTCTACTATACTTTTACATCTATTGAATGAAAAATTGATTTTTTTTATTTGGGTTTCTGAAGTTCCGGGACGAGTTCGTCGCGGCCAAAGTTGATACTTTTGATTCCAAAGTTGCCTCCTTTTTATCTCACAAAGTAGTGCCAAAATTCTGACAAGCTATATTTAGAAGAAAAAAAAATTATTGATTTTTACCAGTAATTTTACTATTTTTTTTCTTCTTGATTTTCTTATGAAATTTGGATTTTTGTGTGTTTGGATTTGACTAAAGTTCTTGAATTTTATCAATAAGTTTGTGTTTCTTTCTCGATTTTTTATGAAATTTTGAATTTTGACTAATGGGGTTTTGTTAAAATTTTGTATTTCTCTATGAGTGATGCAAAGTGGTTGTGCTTCATGTTGTAGTAACCTCGAGTGCGTAATTGACTTGATCTTTCATTGTATTTCTCTATGAGTGATACAAAAATCCATCTGAAGAAGACACGAAAGAAGAACCATTGAATGTTGCACATTTGTGTTGCAGAGATTTGATTCAAATTGGTGGATTTGGGTAAGAAACTAAGAAACCCTAAAATGGACATGCATGTGTTTCTGTTTGTGAGATATAAGGGATCAAGGAATTTTGAGAGTGGTGGCTAGCTAAGGAAATAGAGAAGGAATAATTTTTTTTGTTTGGGATCCAGAGTTTACTGCAAAGTTGATTTCTCTTGATTTTTTGTTGTTTTAATATCTTTTGTTCATGTATTTGAATGCATTTTTTTTTTATTTCTGCCTATTTATCTAAACCCCTATTCAATTTGTTGGAATTCATCAGAGAGTATTGGGTCTAATCATTTCCTTTTAATTTTTCAGGTTGTTTTTTTTATTTCTATAGGGGAGTTGCAGGTGTCCATGTCAAATTCATAAGGAAAAAGAACCATTTTTCTGGATGTATTAAAACATGTAAGAAATTGTTCTCTACTAACATATTAGGAAAAATTAGAATTTTTCCAGTAAATTTGTTCTCTTTTGTTTAAATAGTTTAGGCAATATGGACAGATTACTTCAAAATTCAAATTGAATGATGGTTTATTGGTGTGAATTATGTTACATGTTTAATTTCTTTTAGTTTTACCATTCTGATAGATGTGTATGTATTAGTATTCAATTTATCCCTATTCTCTTATGGTGTTTACTAAACTGTTGTGCACTATTGCTGCACAACCTCTGATGGTTCCATTGTTGGGCAAAAATTTGAGATTAAATTTAATTACAAAATACAAAACTAGATCGCTACATAGACTCTGATGTTGTTTGCATATTTAGTTGTTTTGTAACTTAGTTGATTTGGGTTTGTACAGTTTTTTTTTTGGTCTTGGAGCCACTAGCTTGCAGGTTTCTACTCCTCGCTATAATATATTCTACAATAATATGTTAACAATTGTTTTAGACAACATGATCTGACCACATTTCCAAAGCAAATTAAAAAAAAGTAATGATCAACTCACATGTTAAAAAAATTATAAATTTAAAGAACATAGATTAACCACCACTGCCTGCTTAGTTTAACATAGATTTCCTCCACTTGATTGCTAAGAAAATGTTCAGAAACAAAACAACTTAATTTTAGTGCTATTGTCATGATGGATGCTATATTTTGACTAGCTTATTAAGTTTTGGATAGCTTATGAATTTAAGGTCTTCAGTTTTAATATTTAAACATAATAACATAACTTAGCATTTACCAAACAATTAAACATGTAACATAACTTAACATTTACATTTTTTCATTTACAGTTGGTAGCCACGAATCAACTCACTATCAACTTTATATCAACATTGGAGCGTGCCTTAAAAGTGTCAGTCATATTTTTTATTCTATTTTATAAAATGAATGAAGTTCTGAAGTTTTTGTCTTATGAAACTTAGGTAATATATATCATTTTATAAACATAACACGTGCAAATACAAAAAATTGTAAGCTGTATGGATGAAACATTTTTTATGTAAAATTTTTCTAACATTTTAAGTTTAAGGAATATTGATGCCTGAAATCCCGTCATTAGTTTTTCCATCAAATTTTTTCAATCGGTTGAGTTCTTTTCAAATATGTATAATTTCTTTGTGCAACGTCTCTTTTAGTTTCTTGGTCAAGCATTTTAAATCATTACCAACTATTTAGTAAAAGTAGTTTTATAGCAAATGCTTGAGCTTCTTGGAATACCTACAAATGGAAAGACTGAAACTGTATATAGAGTTAAATGGCGACAGTCAACCAGATTTTTCATGCAATTCCAGTCAGTATCAATATCTTAGTCACTTTAACTATTAACAATATTTTCTGCCTTTTCTTATTTAATTTTTAGGCATTTGAACAAACATCTCTTCTGTATTTAAATATTAAAACTAGTCTCACTTTGAAGAACAGCCACTTGAAGCTGGTCCTCAATTTGACCAAACTTTTAATGATGGCATGTTAAATGGGTATGATATCCACCTCTCTCCTCCTTCCCAACCGCTGTAACAAACATATTGGGACAAACTGCTTTGAAGGTTATTAATTCATTTCATAGACACTATGAGCATCACCTTCTATTCTGTTGGGTTTTGATTGTTCTTCATCATGAATAATGAGAACTTTGGATGGTTGACAGAAGCCAAATATTACAAGTATTATTGATACTCTCAGAAAAATTATTTCCTCTCTTACATTCCCCCATTACTTATTTTCTGCCTCAAATGTTATAAACCTGAACTAGCCTAATAATATTAACATACATTTGAAACTTCTCTGTGTGCAGAAAGAAGGCATCCCATTGCAACCAGCACAATGCAACAAAACTTTTGCCGCTCTTAAAAACATTATCTAAACTCTCAGCTCAAGTAACTACTCACTATCCATATGCTTTTCATTTCTTGATACATAAACAGTTTACAAATTTTTTAACAATTAGATCACATGACTTAGCATTTACAGTTATATGATTTCTAATTGTTTGTATAAATATCTTTTTATCCCCAGCAAGACGATCTCATTGCATAGTTTAGCAAATATTCACTACATCTGCATCATGACCAAGGAAGATAAAATCGATAATATCGGCGATATTTCGCCGATATTATCGTTTTTTTTGGGGTCCGATATTTTTTTAACTATCCAAATGATTTTCGTCAAAATATCGCGATATTTTCGATAATGTCGATATTTTGGCACTGTGCTAATCGGAGAAGAACGCCGGAGCTTCTACAACTCTGGTCGACTGTAAAAGACCTCCTCCATCAGAACCTTGAAGGGGAACTGCGGATCGGCGGCGACTCGGGATCTCCACCCATTAAGAAACATACCCAGAACTCCGAATCCCGAAACCGACGACGATGAGAGACATTGAAAGGGTGGTGGTGCGGAGCACCCGAGCCGGTGAGAACACTGGATCTCAACGCAGCCTCTCGAAATACCGCAGCAAACGCGGTTTGAAAGTAGCTGCATGCCGGATTTGAAAGATGAAGGAGGATGATCGCCGCTGGGGGTGGGTAGGAGGACATGGCCGGATCGGGAAAGGACGCAGGGGGGAAAAGAAAAAACAGAGGAGAAAGCAAAAAGAAAAACAGAAGAAGAAGAGAAAGAAGAAAAGACAGAGGAACAGACCGAGAAGGAAAAACAAGAGAAAAACAGGAGGAGGAAAGGGGAAAGGGCGACCGACTCCAGCCGAAGCCAGAGTTGGCGCCGGAGAAAATGGGGTGAGAGAACAAGAGTTCGAGAGAGAGATAGAGTTGTGAACTGAGAGAGAGTGAGGGGTCCGAGAGGGACTCGGGAAAAGAGAGAGAGAGATAGGGTGAGGGTTAGTGGTCTGCCATGTGGCAGCGTGACAGAGAGTGAGAATCAAGATGGAGGGTCCATATTAGATTATGATAAAGGACTCAATTGCACAATTTATATAATTTTAGGGAAAGAGTGAACATATAAATTAATCTGGGGGTCCAGATTAGATTAGGATAAAGGACTCAATTTCAGGGAAAAAGTGAAAATATATAATTTCAGGGAAAGAGTGAAAAATTTGAACCTTAAAGAGTGAAAAATTTGCCAGCTCGCTATATAATCAACTTAAATCAGTTAAATCCATCATGCAATGCATTTCCTTCCAATTTTTTGTGACAAACTAATAGATAATTGACTAAATAAACATCCTGCAAAGTTTCATTAAAAATTTCCAAGTTTTTCTTACAATTTCCGTGGTTTCCATGTAATTTTTATCGATATCGATATTATCCCGATATTTCTATCGATATTTCCATGTTTTCGGACTACCGATATTTCCGATATTATCGATATTTTCTTCCTTGATCATGACAAATTGCTTCTATGCGCACATTTATTAGTTAAAATTTATATACTGCAATGTTAGAAATATAATTATCCATCCAATTTATAATCCCACAGCAACTCGCGGCCATCACTATCTAGTATGTAACTACATTTCTTTTTTCTTTTTTTATGCACTCGTGTAACATACTAACATTAAACTTGGTTTTTAAAGTGGACCAAAATATATAATTTGGTTTCTGATTTGCTTTGTGTCTTAGAACAAAGATGGAGCATCCACATACCAATGGCAAGCTTTTTGTTCAAATTCCTGCATGGCTTCATTCTTTTATGTATGATGAGCACCTGTCCGGAATCTACCACACTTCGCAGCCCTACTCTGCTTGGAAATGAATCTGACCGCTTGGCTTTGCTTGACTTCAAGAAAAGAATAACTGAAGATCCTCTCGACGTCATGAGCTCGTGGAACCGTTCCCTTCATTTTTGCAGTTGGGTTGGAGTTACATGTAACCGTTCCACCGAAAGAGTCTTGATTCTGAACCTGAAAGCTCAGAAGTTGGTAGGCTCCATTCCACCTTCCATTGGAAATCTTACTCATCTTACTGGAATCAATTTGAATGGCAACAACTTTCATGGGGTAATTCCTCAACAAATTGGTCGTCTTCGAAGCCTACAATATCTCAACCTATCTCGCAATACTTTCCACGGAAAAATTCCAACTAATCTGTCGCACTGCACACTGCTAAGATTGCTCAATATTGAATCCAATTTGATTACTGGGCCGATTCCAAACCAGCTCACTGCATTGATAAATTTAAATATTCTAGTGATTTCTCGTAACAATCTCGGTGGAACCATCCCAGGTTGGATAGGGAACTTATCTTCTTTGGGGACTCTTTATCTCGAGGAAAACAATTTGCAAGGAAGCATACCAAATGAGTTGGGGCATATGGCAGGTTTGGTAGAATTCTCAGCTGCGGAGAATAATCTATCTGGTATGGTCCCTTCTTCATTCTATAATATTTCCTCCATACGTATATTCAGTGTTGTTGATAACCAGTTGCATGGAGAGCTACCACCAAATATTGGCACTATGCTTCCTAACCTCATAGAAATTTCTTGGGGTAAGAACAATTTCACCGGAAATATTCCAGTATCTTTGTCAAATGCTTCTAGACTCCAGGGGATTGATTTTGCAGGAAATAAGATCGCTGGGATAGTCCCTGGTGAAAATATCGGAACCTTGCAAAGCTTAATTTGGCTGAACCTTGAATCAAATCACTTGGGAATCGGAAAATCTGGTGACCTGAACTTTATCAGTTTCTTGGCTAATTGTACTAGTTTGGATGAGCTGGGTCTCGCAGGTAATAATTTTGGAGGAAGAATCCCGATGTCCATAGCCAACCTTTCGACCCAAGTAGAGTATCTTACTTTTGGGCAAAATATGATACATGGAAGCATCCCTAACGGCATTGGGAATCTTATAAACTTGACCATTCTAGCAGTGGAACTTAACTATTTGCAAGGTAGTGTCCCTAATGAAATTGGGAAGCTTCAAAACTTAGTAGAACTGTATTTGGATGGTAATGAATTTTCTGGGCCAATCCCGCCATCCCTTGGTAACATAACTTCACTGACAAGGCTTTACATGCAGAAAAGTGGGGTTGAGGGAAGTATACCTCCAACTCTTGGAAACTGCCAAAATCTATTAGTACTGAAACTTGGTGATAATAATCTAACAAGCGCCATACCTACAGAGCTTATTCGGCTTTCGACTCTCTCAATCTCCTTGAATCTGTCTTCCAATTATTTGACTGGTCCGCTGCCTATTGAGGTGGGCGATTTAATTCATCTCACGGAGCTAGATGTATCGAGAAACAAGTTATCAGGTGAAATCCCGAGCACCCTTGGCAGTTGCACTAGTTTGGAGCGCTTGTATTTACAAGGTATAACATGAAAGGAACAATTCCTCAATCTCTTAAAGATTTAAGAGGCTTGGGAGAACTAGACATTTCAAGCAATAACTTATCTGGACAGATCCCTGATTTCATAGGAAAGCTTAAAGCTCTCAAGTATCTTAATCTCTCATATAATGATTTTGTGGGTGAGTTGCCTAAGGAAGGAATCTTTGCAAATGCCAATGGTGTTTCTGTTCTTGGAAATCATAGGCTCTGTGGTGGTATCCCACAATTACATCTGCCTCCATGCTCCCAGAAAAATAACCATTCATCTCAAGGATTACTTTCCTCAAAAGTACTCATCCCTACAACTTGTGCACTAGCATTCATAATTGCTCTATCATGCTTCTTTGGTGCTTGTTCAATGCTCAAAAAGTCTAGAGGTAGACCAACAAATTCACGTTCTTACAAGGATTGGAAATCAGCTGTTTCCTACTCAGAACTCGTTGACTCAACAAACGGGTTCTCTGTGGATAATCATATTGGTTCAGGAAGTTTTGGTTCCGTTTATAAAGGAGTAATTCCTAGTGATGGAAGGATAGTCGCTGTTAAGGTATTAGACCTTCAACAACAAGGAGCTTCCAAGAGTTTCATTGATGAATGCAAAGCTTTAAGGAGTATAAGGCACCGCAATCTTCTCAAGATCATAACAGCATGCTCAAGCATTGATAATCAGGGTAAAGATTTCAAAAGTTTAGTTTTTGAGTTCATGGAAAATGGAAGTTTAGACTCATGGTTGTATCCAAGAGATGAGAAGCAATCTTCAAGTAAGAGATTGAATGTTATCCGAAGATTGGATATTGCCATTGGTGTTGCTTTTGCATTAGATTATCTGCATCACCATTGTGAAACCCCCATTGTTCATTGTGATCTAAAGCCGAGCAATGTACTTCTTGATGAAGATATGGTAGCCCATGTTGGAGACTTTGGTTTAGCAAGGTTCCTCTTGGAAGCATCAAATGATCTCTCCCTCAGTCAAAGCATGTCTGCTCAGCTAAAGGGTTAAAGGGTTCAATAGGTTACATTCCTCCAGGTATGAGTTGCTATCATTTGTGTTTCCTCTTCCTAGTAACTTATAACTTATTACTAAATCCAGCTAATTGAGGTGTCGTTTGATATACATGATAGGATAGGAATAGATAAGACACTATTTTCAAGGTATGTTGAAAGAAAAAAAAGCAAAAAATTGCGACCAACTTAAAGGTAAGAGAAGAACGCAAAATCGGAGGACTAGAAGGGAGAAGTTTCTTAATGTCTGAAATACCCTCAAAATTAAAAACCATTCTAATCTACCTCCAATAGGCCTTGAATTTAGACAGTTATCTCTTTCAATCCAATAATTTCTACCAAACAAGCCCCAAAACTCTGTTTATGAAAAGATATTGCTGCTTGCTTTTACTGGAAAGAAAATAACATAAAAATTTGAAATATGATATCAATTCTAAAAGTAAATTGCATATTACATTTTAGGGAATTTTAACGAAAAGCACCCGGTACTGTTCACTTTAACGAAAAACCACATTTTTACACTAAAAAGTCAATCCTGGTACTATTCACTTTATCCTTTATTTTGTCTTTATCATTAAAACTCAAAGTTTTCAAGCCCTTTTCATTAGTTTTCCTTACATTTTATTGTATGTATGTCTGGCAGAGTATGGCACGGGAGGCCAAGTTTCCATACTAGGAGATGTTTATAGCTATGGGATACTGTTGCTAGAGATGTTCACAGGAAAAAGACCTACGGATGACATGTTCAATGATGGTCTAAGCATTTACCAATTTGTAACCATGGCTTTGCCAGACCGCGTGATGGACATTGTTGATCCTTCATTACTCATCAACCTTGAAGGGGATGGTGATGTTAACGATGACGGACACAATATTGCCATACTACAAGAAAAAAGTGCACCCAAACGTAACAATCGTGATCTAGTTAAAGCAAAAAAGTTTGAGGAATGCTTGGTTGCAGTTATGCAGATAGGGCTCTCTTGCTGTGCAATATCACCAAGGGAGCGGATGCTTATGGATGCGGTTGTCAGAAAAATGAGTTCAATTAGAGACTCGTATCTCAAAGTTTAAGAAGACTTAACAAGGACAATGCATGATGTGTTTGTTAAAGAAGGACAGAGTTCCATATATGTGGCTTGAAAGTTTGTAAGCACCTGATAAACCAGTGATTATGCAGTTTAGAGCATTTGTCAAAAGTCATGTATTATTATTCCAAATGTGAAGAACTTGTTGGGATCAAAGTTTTCTCTGAAACTTTAGCCATTATTAGCAAAGATAAAATCTTTATATTTCTAAGCTTATGCACAAACTCTGTAACTTTCTCTACAAAAGCAGCAGATGCAGTCTCCTGTTAATATGGATGGAAATGCCACAGTGCATACGTATTGAACATCTTTTACGAGGAGGGATTTAAACTTGAGCCCAAGCAAAGTAGGCAGTCCACCATTCCAGCAATGGCTACTGATAATTTTTCAAGTCTAACTTAAGAGAGGATGGGGAGATCCAAACTTGAGTGTAAAAAGCCAAATACAATGTTGTAGCCAACTAACCTAATCCAACATCTACCACTACGCACTCATACTCACATATTGATTTCTATGTTTGGACTCATATTACATTTTATCACCGTGATTTTAATATTTCAATTTGGACATTAGGTTTTATTCTTTTAACAATTTTAGTGTCAAATTATCAGAGAGACGGGCCAAAAGCTCACAATTTCAACAACATCGATATTGTTCTAAACTTATTAATTATCATTTGCAAAGTCTGACATCTCTGAGATTTTATCACAAAAGAACTCGGTATTAGTTGGAGTGGTGTTTTAAGATATTTAAACTCTTATTTTTCTCTATCTATGCCCGATGTGGTATATTTCAACATTTAGGACACTCTTTAACTTCCATTAACTTTAAAAAAATCTGAAGTTTCATTACTTATCCATATGACAATGAATTTGGTCGGTTGATTGCTTTTGTCTGATCAAATTTTTTTTTTCATCGGGACTAAAACTTTGATCCGATGAAATTTAGTTTGTCGGACGAACTTTCTCCGGGCAAATGTTAATTTCTGATTGGAATATATGTAACTCCCCACTTAAAAAGCCGTATAAATGAAAGAAAAAATTTCACCTCTTTTGCATGCCATGGCATCACTAAATAAAAATTAAAATTAAAATGTGTGTTGCCTACTTAATCTTACTCTAGTTTCTGGTATTAATTTGTCATGCTGATAATTTTCGACCAAAGAAAGAAGAAAAAGGGTTGTCATGTGCTCATGCAACACGTGGAAATGCCATGGTTTTTTTTTTTCTTTCATTCTTTTGTATGTTGGTAAACTAATAATATGTCAGAAATAACAATAAACGCATATAAATTTCTACATACTTTTTTTTTTTTGATCTAAACTGGAATTTTCATTTCTGTAAAATAACAGAGTACATGAAATTTGGGAGAGCAAGGAAACCCTCATTAAAAACCTCCAAAAAGAAGGGAAAAAAAAGTACTTCACCAAATTACTCCCCACTTACAATTAATTCTACATCTATATATATAAAGGAAGAAAGTGAAAAGGGTAAAGCTTTCATAATATTCAAACTACCCTTTCCTCTCATTAGGATTTCAAAAAAAAAAAAAAAAAAATTACATAAAAAAAAAAAAAAGAAGTCCAGGTAAGATGGTTAGTAAGTTTATTATTTTTTGAAATGTAGTAAATAATAATAACTAAAATATGTATAATTAAAAAAAAAACGACAAATAATAGATTGTCAAACAGAAAAAGAAATAAAAAAATTCTAATTGCCACACGCGTCCAAGTGATATAATAAGTAATTCGATAAGTTTATTAATTCCTTATATTATTGCACCCACAATATTACAAATTACACAATTACAAATTTCGCTTCTGCTGCTCCCACACCATTCTTAGCAACCACAATTTCTGTCTCATCAGCCACGCTCACCTCCCCCCTAAACTTCTTATAAATATCACTCTTATAAAACTTCCTTGTCCTAACCACCAAAACCAAAGAAACAAGTGCCCCCAGAAATGTCACCACTGCAATTATAATGAAGGACAATTTGAAGCACTGCCCCCCAACACAATTCAGCTCCTCCCCAGCCTTCCTCCTTAGCCCTAAAGCTACCATTTGCTTCTTAGCTTCCATGTCATACAAGTGCCCTGCGACCCTCACATTGAGCAAATATAACCCTATTGGGCTTGCCAGCCCTCCGAAATTGTACAAAGTTGAGTAATATTTGAGGCCAAAAAGCTCCGAAATTAGGGTAAAAATTAGCGGCCAGTGAGCACCAAAACAGAAACCGGTTACCACTGAAGCAACATAGAGACCATACGGGACGTTGAACGCGATTAGAAGATGACCGACACATGAGAGCAAGAGGATTGCAGTGAAGATTGTTAAAGTTGTTGGGATCCTAGCCGTTAGCAGATAAGTCTTGCTGCTAGGGTTCCTAGTTGTTAGGGTTTCTAACCACGTAGGAGTCTAATAAAGTCCTAGTCTTAAGGGACACGCTGAATGTTTGTTTTCCAAGTAGTCGTTACCACGATTGTAGGTCCTGTAAAATCGTGGGCAGTTTCATTTACCTTCTGATAAGTTGTAAGGCTATTTAATGGCCGGTGTTGATGCTTTCAATAATGAGAATTCTCCCTGGTTGTTTATGCAAGCTTTCGAACTTGGTTTTACTGTGATTCTTTGCTAGGTTCTAGGTTCTAACATCTGGTATCAGAGCCCCACTACGGGGCCTGATCGAAAGCTTGTAACCCAGGTGTTCGAGTGAAAAGAAACAAAACATGGCGTCTGAAAACAGTTTCGTACAACCAGCCATTCCAAGGTTTGACGGACACTATGATCATTGGAGTATGCTTATGGAGAACTTTCTCCGTTCCAAAGAGTACTGGAACTTGGTGGAACTTGGGATCACTGCTGCAGCAGGAGGATCGGATTCCAGTGAAGTACAGAAGAAGATCGTAGATGAACTAAAGTTGAAGGACTTGAAGGCCAAGAACTATTTGTTCCAAGCCATAGATAGGTCAATATTGGAGACCATTCTGAAGAAGGACACCGCAAAAGACATATGGGACTCCTTGAAACAGAAGTATCAAGGAACTGCACGTGTGAAACGGGCTCAACTGCAGGCCCTTCGCAAGGAATTCGAAGTGCTGCACATGAAGAATGGAGAAACAGTCAATGACTATTTCGGGAGAACACTTGCCATAGCCAACAAGATGAGAACCCACGGAGAGAAGATGGATGATGTAGTGATCATCGAGAAAATTTTGAGGTCCATGACCTCGAAATATGACTATGTCGTGTGCTCAGTTGAGGAATCAAATGACCTAGACACTATGTCTATAGATGAACTCCAGAGTAGCCTTCTGGTGCATGAACAAAGGATAAGCCGCCATGTGGAGGAAGAACAGGCGCTTCAAGTTACTCATAGAGTCCAGCAAGAAGGACGTGGTCGTGGAACTTATCGTGGCAGAGGAAGAGGACGAGGAAGGCTAGGGTTCGATAAGTCAACCCTAGAGTGCTATCACTGCCATGACCTAGGGCATTTTCAGTGGGAGTGCCCTAAGAAATCTAAGGAGGAAAAGGCAAACTACGTAGAAACAAAGGAAGAAATGCTGTTAATGGCACTTGTGGAATTCAAGGGGATGGAGCACACATGGTTTCTTGACTCAGGATGCAGCAATCACATGTGTGGAAGGATGGATTTGTTCAGCGAGTTTGACAATAGCTTCAAAGAATCAGTGAAACTTGGAAATGATTCAAGCCTGACTGTGCAAGGCAAAGGAAGTGTACGAATGGAGGTAGATGGACGTATACATGTGATCACAGGTGTGTTCTATGTACCAGACTTAAAGAATAATTTGCTAAGTATCGGTCAGCTGCAGGAGAAGGGGCTCACAGTTCTCATTCAACAAGGAAGGTGCAAGATCTTTCATTTTGAAAAAGGTCTAATCATGGAGACTAAGATGAGCACCAACAGAATGTTTGCAGTGGTGGCTCGCAGTCCTGAAGAGCAGAAGTGTCTCTCCTCTCAAACAACTGATCAAGCACAGCTGTGGCATCATCGCTATGGGCACCTCAGTTGGCATGGGCTCAAGGTGCTTCAGCAGAAGAAAATGGTGAAGGGACTACCTCAGTTCGCAGCATCTCAAAAGGTGTGTGAAGATTGCTTGGTAGGCAGGCAACAGCGAGATCCATTTCCAAAAGAAAGCATGTGGAGAGCCTCTGAGGCACTTCAATTAGTACATGCTGACATATGCGGACCCATCAATCCAATCTCAAACAGCAACAAAAGGTATCTTATCACCTTCATAGATGATTTCAGCAGGAAAATATGGGTCTACTTCTTGGCAGAGAAGTCAGAAGCATTTGGCATGTTCAAAGCTTACAAAGCACGGGTAGAAAAAGAAACTGGGGCATTCATCAGAAGTTTGAGGACAGATCGAGGAGGCGAGTTCACCTCGCATGAGTTTGCAAGCTTCTGTCGTGAGAATGGGATACATAGGCAGTTAACTACGGCCTACACCCCTCAACAGAACGGAGTGGCGGAAAGAAAGAATCGCACCATTATGAACATGGTGCGGAGCATGTTATCTGCCAAACAAATTCCAAAAAGCTTCTGGCCTGAAGCAACAAATTGGGCTGTACATGTGTTAAATCGATGTCCTACCCTTGCCGTGAAGAACAAGACACCTGAAGAAGCATGGAATGGACGCAAACCTTCTGTGGATCACTTCAGAATTTTTGGATGCATTGCTCATGCTCATGTACCTGATCACAAGAGGGTGAAGCTCGATGCCAAGAGCTGTAAAAGCATTTTGCTTGGGGTAAGTGAAGAATCTAAGGCTTATCGACTATATGAACCCGTTTCTCAGAAAATTGTTATAAGCCGAGATGTGGTGTTTGAAGAGGATCAGCAATGGAGTTGGGGTGACAACTACAAGGACGTGATAGTGGCAGACCTAGAGTGGAATGCTGATGAGGAAATTAGCAGCCCACGAGTGACGAGTGATCCAGGGTTTGATAGCAATGACGTTGGAGACGAACCAGAATCTGAGTCTGAGTACGAGGGCACGATGGTTGGAGAAGGGAGTCAAAGTGATGAAACCTCACCTCATGAGGGACGAACTCGAAGACCACCAATATGGATGAGGGATTATGAGACAGGTCAAGGATTATCTGATGAAGAGATTGATGGAATGGCTCATTTGGCCTTATTCATTGATCGAGATCCCACAACCTACGAAGACGCGGTGAAGTCAGAGAAATGACGACATGCTATGGATCAGGAGATACAATCCATTGAGAAGAACGATACATGGGAACTGGTAAAGTTGCCACCAGGAGGAAAAACTATTGGGGTGAAGTGGGTGTTTAAGACAAAGCTCAAGGAGAATGGAGAAGTGGATAAGTACAAGGCTCGATTGGTTGCTAAGGGTTACTGTCAACAATATGGGATTGATTACGCAGAGGTGTTCGCACCAGTGGCCCGTTTAGACACCATTCGGGTAGTAATCTCTCTTGCTGCACAAAAGAACTGGGGGATCTATCAACTCGATGTTAAGTCCGCATTTTTGCATGGGGAGATAGAAGAAGAAGTGTTCGTCGATCAGCCACCTGGATATGAGCAGAAGGGGCATGAATCAAAGGTGTACCGACTCAAAAAGGCGTTGTATGGACTTAAGCAGACCCCTCGAGCCTGGTATAGTCGCATAGAGTCATATTTCATCGAAGAAGGCTTCAACAAATGCCCTCACGAGTATACCTTGTTCATCAAGACAGCACGAGAAGGTAAGATCTTGATAGCATGCCTTTATGTTGATGATCTTATTTTCACTGGTAATGATGAAACAATGTTTGAGAAATTTAAGAAGTCTATGACTGCTGAGTTTGACATGACTGATCTCGGAAAAATGAGATACTTCCTTGGTATCGAAGTTATACAAAGATCTGATGGAATTTTTATCGGACAAAGGAAGTATGCTCAAGAGGTCCTGGAGAAATTTAACATGGACCAGTGTAATCCAGTACAAAATCCAGTGGTGCCTGGTTTAAAACTCACAAGGAATGGAGGAGTAGAAGTTGACAGCACTGTCTATAGACAGATGGTGGGAAATCTCATGTATCTAACAGCTACGAGACCTGATTTAATGTTTGTTGTGAGCTTGATCATCCGATACATGGAGCGTCCAACTGAGGAACACTTACAGGTAGCAAAAAAGGTTCTTAGATACGTTAAAGGGACGGTTGACCTGGGGATATTCTACAAGAAGGGAGGAACTGAAGAACTCACTGGATACACCGATAGCGACTACGCAGGTGATCAAGATGACAGGAAGAGCACCTCAGGTTATGTGTTTATGATGAGTTCGGGAGCTGTCTCTTGGTCCTCAAAGAAACAGCCAGTTGTTACTCTATCCACTACTGAGGCAGAGTTCATAGCTGCTGCATCGAGTGCATGCCAAGTTGTTTGGTTAAGAAGAATCATGGAGAGTCTTAATCAGGAGCAATATGGTCCAACCTTAGTGTATTGTGATAATGTTTCGGCTATCAAACTGTCAAAGAATCTTGTACTGCACGGTCGAAGCAAGCATATTGATATAAGGTTTCATTTCCTTCGTGACCTGGTCAAGGATGGAGTGTTAGAGCTGGCACAGTGTTCATCGCAAGAACAAGTTGCAGATGTGTTAACTAAACCTCTGAAGGTTGACACTTTTCTAAAGATGCGAGAACTGATGGGTGTCTGCAAGTTTCCAGGGATAAACTGAACATCTGTAGTGTTCAGTTTAAGGGAGGATGTTAAAGTTGTTGGGATCCTAGCCGTTAGCAGATAAGTCTTGCTGCTAGGGTTCCTAGTTGTTAGGGTTTCTAACCACGTAGGAGTCTAATAAAGTCCTAGTCTTAAGGGACACGCTGAATGTTTGTTTTCCAAGTAGTCGTTACCACGATTGTAGGTCCTGTAAAATCGTGGGCAGTTTCATTTACCTTCTGATAAGTTGTAAGGCTATTTAATGGCCGGTGTTGATGCTTTCAATAATGAGAATTCTCCCTGGTTGTTTATGCAAGCTTTGAACTTGGTTTTACTGTGATTCTTTGCTAGGTTCTAGGTTCTAACAAAGATGAGAGGCCGAGGCCATTTGTACTTTGTGATGAAGATTTCGGAGCCTATACCAGCGGATATTTGCCCTAAATAATTCCATATGCTTGTAAGGGATACAAAGTATCGGATGCTTCGTAAGGGGTATCCAAAAGAAGTTCCAATCTGCCCCAAGTTGTCCATCATGGTCATTGTGCCTCCAAGGCCACAGATTGTTGCCAACAGTAAGGTCAGCATTTCAATGCTGAAAAGTGCTTGCAAAATAGTGAAGTCCTCACCAATTTCTGGTGGGGTAAAAATATTCTTGTTCCAGGGTGAAACTTTTTTGTATGGAACAGTAAATGATAACTGTGGGGTTGGAGAGGAAATGGTTTCTTGGTTTGAATCTCGCTTGCTCTTCCAGACTTTATATTCTTCCATAATTACCACACCAAGTGGTAAAAAGAGCAAAAAGAGCACAACAGTTGCACTTCCAACATACTCTCTTTGATTAAACCTAAAACTTTTCTCAACAATAATTATAATCAGCAAAAATGCTGCTAGGGCAAGTGAAATATAAAGGAAATTATAGAAAGCTTTGAGCTCATTCGGGCGGCGACTAACCTTCATGATCCGAATGGTTCCAATGAAAGCGAAAGAGATTGCTGTAGGAAGCCAAGCCACCAACAAAGTGAAGGACTTTGTGTCATCGCCATAGGCAGCATGGTAGAGCTGTGCAATCACAGCTGCACTTATACCGGTATAGCTTTTCAAAAGGCCTAACACAACACCCCGGCTTTCGGGGAAGTTCTTAACACAGGTGACAAGAGCTCCAGTGTTGGTGAAAGTATGTGAATTTGACCCTATAGAGATGTACATACACATGTGCCAAACTTTTGGTTTGGGGATTTTTTGTGTAACAGCAAGCCAAATCATGAAGTGTCCGAAAAAGTTTAGGACTGCACCGATTGATAAGGCCACCCAAGGCGGTGTGACCTCGTTGATTAGGCCGGAAAAGATGCCAATGTTGCCTCCTAAGTCCTTGAAGAAGCTGATTAAGTTGAGTGTCGTTTGGTCATAGCCAAGGACGGACTTGATGTCGTTGGAATAGAGGCCGAACATGTAGCTTGCTCCGGCAGTGACCATCATTAGGAATGAAGCAAAAACCATGAGCCATCTTCCTTTGAGGACTTGTAGGACAAGGCCCTTCATGTCCACACAACTGCGCACCTCCATTTCTTTTGTCTTTGATGATCAGTAGTACGTAACTTTGGCTTGATACAGATATATAAGATTGAAATGGGGAGAGAGAGAGAGAGAGAGAGAGAGAGAGAGAGAGAGAAAGAGAGAGAGGCACAGGAGAACTGTGTTAGTTCCCTTTATTTGAAGTCAATAAGTAAGATGTAATTGCTGTTTAAAAATACTTTTTTTTTGTTTGAAAAATGAAATAAAAAAGTTAGTTTGGTGAGTTTTCAAATTTTGATTTTTTTCAACTTTTTTTTTTTCAACTGAAAATCATTATCAAACAAGTTTTTAATTTTTCAACTGAAACTGAAAGAAAAAAAAATAGTTATAAAACATACCCTTAATTTTAAGGATTAAGTATCTTGTTCCTTTTCTTTTTATTTTTTTTCCACAAATATGGTAGACCATCACAATAATGAAAAGATACTTGGAAAACGTCATTATAATATCAAAAGGGGAAAAGTTCAGTTTGATCTCCTAAAAAATTAATTATGTCGAGTAAATGAATCTGTAAGAATATATTAAGAATTTTGGCAAACTGATGCAGATACCAAGTTCCAGGACCACTCACGCCACAAATAATGAAGGAATAACATATTGTAATATATGAGTAAACCAATTTTTTTAATTTTTTATAGTCACTTGCAATAAATCTCGACATTTCTTTATATCCTCGCGTGCGTTACATTCCATTCAAGGAAAAAGAAAATGTGAACTTGATAGTGTGATTAGCAATCCATAAGTGGAAAGATTAATTAACATAGCACTGCCATTCAATATAAAATAGAAAAATACTAAAGAGAGTTTTTTAAAGTGAGATTCTCTATGGACTTCTTAACAACTCACAGTATGACGTTAATTCCCGTATCAATAATATTAAATATTATGCAAAACACATGAAATGACAAAGAGTCTATAAATAATTTCACTTTTAAGAATGTTCTTTATAAAATATCTACCCGGTCCGGTATGTATTCTAATGAGCTGAGTCCTGAATTTCTAAATTATTGTAATAATTTGCCAGCAGACCTTTAACATCATTAGTCGCATATTGCCATTTTTTATTTGTTTACAGCTGGCAACTTGAATTTTTTTTATCTATTCATGATTAGGAAAGGTTCAAAATAATTGAACAGATGGAATTTTGCAGTCTCTTTTACGAGCACTAAGTTCCTCCTTTTGATCACATTAATTTTAGTCATGATGGCTCCCATTCAGTACACAAATTCGGGTGATTTTTGGCCACCACCTTCAAGGGGTGGTAGTGTTTACAATCGTACTTGTTATTATTTGATGAGTTTAAATTTTGAGATTTATGTTTATTCATTAAACAGGTTTTGAAATTTAAATTTATCCAACGGTAATAAAAATGATAATAAGCATCACCATTACTTGAGGATAGTGGGCAAATATTCTTCACAAACTCAGCGTTACTAATAATGTCTATAGTCGGGCACAATACAATCTTTACTGCTTCAATGTCTTTAGCTTTACCAGTCAACCACTATAGTTTCTGCATCAGTTGTACCACTTAATTTGTAACTGTAGTGCCACACAGTTGCGGGGAAGTCTTGGCTGTAACCAATGGCTGATCCAGAAAAAATATTTCAGGGGTTCACATGTAAAAATTTACAAGTATTTCTTAGACGCATAATAACCTTAAAAATTATAGTTCCATCATTCATAGCTTATAGAATAAATAACAATACAAGTTATAATAGTCCCTGATGCATTTTCATATTTTGAAAACGTTGCATTACAACTTCATTGTCAATAGAAGAAAAAAAAAATAACTCTCAATATAAACCACCATACTATCACTCAACCATTGATCTCCCATTCGGTTATGCAATGGAGTCTTAACAATATTCATAGTGGAAAAAGCTCTCTCCATTGAAGCAATAGCTACCGGTAGAACCAAAGCCAATGTAATTAGCAAATGCACATGATTATATACTCTATTTCTCCTCGTCTCCACCATTTTCTTTTTTTTTTGCAAGACTATCAATTCCTTTCAATTGAAAAAATTCATTACTTGAACGCATATCAAGAATATAATGCTCAAGTTGATATTCAAGTGCCAAGAGGTGACAAGTAGTAAATTCATTCAGATAAAATTGAGCAAAACAAATTAGCTTTTGTTCATTAAAAATCGAGAATGAATCATCCAGGCTCAAACAAACAAAGAAGCAACTGCATTTACCTCATCAAAGCAACTATTTAATTCCACAAGTTGCTAAAGAGCTCCACATGATAATGATAGAAGTTTGTGATTCTTTGAGCTCCACGCCGTGATCTCCGTCGAGTAACATATCCATCATCCATGCTAGGAATCTCAATATCATGCTTGTCACAAAATGAAGACACTTGATCAAGCAAAGGATGAAATCCATTCTCTCTCATGTTTGGTAGTTGTTGCTTACATACCTTGACTAAAGTCATATCATTCACAATCTCTTGATCTTTCTTTTGTAATGCTTATGACAAATCATTTGTAAACCCCAATATAGATTTCATTAAGAATAGGTCAAACACAAATTCGAAAGCTTACATATCTCCCAATGACCTATTTGCTTCTCTTACATTATCTGTGGAACCATCATCAACAATCATTTCAAGCACTTTCACCACGAAACCAAACATGGAAATGATACTAGTCAAGGTACCATAATGTGAGTTCCAAAGTGTGTCACCGGCACGCTTGAGACTAGTTTTTTTATTTAAACCCCGGCCCGTTATAAGACAATCATTTTCAAAAGCTTCCATAAGATCCTTTTGTAGTTGCTCTCTAAGTGCATCACGACGCATACAAGATGCTTCAACAACAGTAACCACACTATTTGCCAATGTGAAAAAGTGGCAATATCAACATTTTCCTTTGCCACCGCAACAAGAGCTAGTTGAAGTTGATGTACAAAACAATGAACATAAAAAGCACAACGATTTTCTCTTAAAAAGCACAACGATTTTCTCTTAATATCCTTGACTTAAGACCATTGAACTCACCTTTCATGTTACTAGCTCCATCATAACCTTGTCTTCGTAGCTTGGAAATACTCAATTTATTTCTTGAAAACAATTGATCAATGGACTTCTTTAACTCAATTGAAGTAGTCTCGGCCACATGTTGAACTTCCACAAACCTTTCGATTACTTCCCCTCTTTTATTTACATAGCAAAACCCCACCACCATTTGCTCTTTAATTGAAACATCACGTGATTCATCAACTATTATAGAAAAAAATGCACCATTCATATCACAGAGGATAGCATCAATTGTTTCAATAGCACACACATTAACAAGGTCCTTTTGAATTGAAGGAGCAACTAACTTTAGGTTATCGGGAGCATTTTTAAGACAACGGCCTTAATTTTCTCATCATGATCCGCGAGAAATTGCAAGAGCTCTATATAATTCCCCCTATTATCTGAAGCTTCTTTTTCATCATGCCCACGAAAAGGAAGACATTGCCGCAATAAAAATCTTGTGCAATCAATTGCCGCATTCAACATAATGCAATAGTCAACATAGCTTTGGTCAGTATGCTTGATCAAAACTATTTCGATATGTTGCTTTTGATTCATTAGATCCAAATATTTTTGGCTAACTTTATTGTGAACATTAGAAACACCTCATTCATGCCTCCTAAGTAATTCTAACCATTTCTTCCAATTTTTGAACCCTTTCCCAACAAAGACATCATTACTTCCTTGTTGAAAATTGCAATTAAATAGATAGCAACAAATACAATATGCGGCATCCTTTTTGATACTATACTCTAGCCAATGGAACTCATCATACCACTTGGAATTAAAGCGTTGAGGAACTCTGGAAAAAAATCTTTATGGAAAAGGCTTTAGTATAGGCTGACAATATGCCTTTTGTAGATAAGCTCTTTTGACTTCATCTCGAATATTAGGCTCATAATCTGACATTGGAGGTCGAGTACCAAGATCCGCAGGAAGAGCATTCAAAATTTCTTCTAACTCACTTTCTTTTGAACTTGAACTACCCGGATTGTTCACCGTAGGATTTGTGCATTGTTTTTCTTATAATATCGCAACATAACTGTATGATTTGAATAAAGTCCACACCAATTTTATTAGGAATTACTCAAATTTGATAAACTCACTCAAACCAACTCCTCACACAAAACTCAACAAATTCAATAGTCTAAATAAAAACATTCATCAATTTATCAACACAAATACTAAAAGTCTAAAACACATATATCAACTAATCTAAATAAAAATTATATATGATTCACATCAATAATCAAATGTAAGTATTCATGAAAGGAATTTAATTTGAATAAGTTATGAAAAACTTACTTTGAAATCACAAGATGAAATTTAGGGTCGTCAAAACGATCGTCGAAGTGGAGTGCTAAGAGTTTAGGCGTTAGAGATGGAGTTTGGTGATTGGAATTTGTGAATGGGAATTGAAAATTTGGAATTGAATTTGGGTGGCTGCCGGGCTGGGGTTTGCTGTTTGCTGCTGCTGCTCGAACGGGACACACGGATAGAGTCTTTTCTTTTTTAAAGTTGGAGAGTATCTTTTTTTTTTTTGGCTGTTTTTAGTTTTTTTTTTTTTTTTTTTTTTTTTTTTTTTTGCTGTTGGTCTTTGTTTTTTTTTTTTTTTGGTTCTTGGTGTTTTTTTTTAATTAGACAAAATGACTAAAATTACGTCGTTTTGACAAAGTAATATTCATTAAAAAAAATAATAATAAGAGTCACTTCTTTTCAGATATTTTATCAAACAATTAGAGGGAAAGTATGAAACCAACTCTAATCTTCAAAATGGCAGCACCTAAGTATCCATGGAAGTTCATGAGGTCAACTGACCCCAGCCCCTCAATGCATCCACCACTGGCTCCAGGATATATCCTCCCATGCATGTTCATATTCTTGTAGAACTCACCACGTGATAAGTATCAAGCACTGAGGTAGTGGTATAGAAACATGATGATATATCTTCGGTTGTATGCAACTCTGTTGCCTCAGTAGCTGACATCATTTTTCTATCACTAGCTTGCATCATTCTGCAATATTTCT